AAGGTAATAGCCAACAGCACCTGGTGTTCCCAAGTGGTCACCCTCCCAAGTACTGCCCGGGCCCAACATTGCTTAACTTTGGTGATCGGACGAGAACCGGTGTCATAGGCCATTTAACAGATCAAGATATACCCCCTTTTTTATATAAACATATTCAATAGATCGGCTTTTGACTCAAATAAATAAAAATGTTTGTAGAAATAGAAGCTAAAACTGACATATTCAAAATGCCATGAAACAAACATTCTTGTTTCTTGTATTTGATGGCAATACCAATCTATAAGGAAAGAGAAGCACTCCCCCTAGAGTGGACTACATGGGGAAAGTACAGAAGGAAGTTATTACAAACCTAGTGGAGCTGAACATCCCATGTTGCCGTACCACTTCTAGTCTTCTTCTTTCTTATCTCCACTCAATCACACTAAGGTATCAAGCTTGTAAAGCTTGAGACTTTTGATGGTGTCTGCTGGGAAAGAGTAGAGCTCATCAATAGATGAGCCAATACAGTCAATAATGTGTTTTGGGGTTGCAGGTTGATACTTAGTACATAGTGGGAAAACCCACTTCTAGTTAACCTGATAAAGCATAATTTGGATTATAGATTATAGCTACAAGCAAATAAGACCTAATCCAAATAAATTAATAGTGTGTGATGTTACGGTAACATTGTTACACACTATTAATTTATTTGGATTAGGTTTTATTTTCTTGTTTCTAGTTGACCTATTTAGAGCCATTATACTTTTGCTCTACATCCATGGTGGCCAAAATGATACACAATACAGCTTCCTCCACCCTAAAATTCCACTATATACAGTCTAACCTCTTTAATTGGACACCCTGAGGGATCAGAGCTTTTGATTGAAATCTTCTTCTTTCTTATCTCCACTCAATCATATTAAGGTATCAAGCCTGTAAAGCTTGAGACTTTTGATGGTGTCTGCCGGGGAAGAGTAGAGCTCATCAATGGACAAGTCAATACAGTCAATAATGTGTTTTGGGGTTGCAGGTTGAGAATTGCAGTACATAGTGGGAAAACCCTGCAACCATTCTGGAAAGTCATTGTCCGTAGATGACCAGACTTAAGTCTGGAAATCAATTCGGTTGAATTAAAGGAAGTGTTGAATTAAAGTTAGTTAGATGATTTCATTACAACATTTACCGCTAGTCGACATTTTTTCTAGGGTAGGCTTTTCTAGGCTAGACTACAGCCAGGGTGTCAAAGTATTGTATTTTAGCAATAAATTTGTAGGTAAACAAGCTGTATAACTAAAGTTGTCGAAATTTGATTTTAAAAATCGGTTGAATTATCAATGGTATCAAATTATTGTTTGGTCAATTTAACGTTTGTTATTTAATAGGCTGGAGGTCAGGACAAGAAAATATGGTCGAATTATGGCAAGTGTTGAATAATAGGTGTCAAATTTACCAGGTTATACTGTATTCCATCTGTAATTTAGTATGCCAATCCATAAACAAAGACGAGATTCATGCAGGATTTTTTTTTACACCCAAGCCGGTGAAAAGAAGGATCCCAGAAGGCAGAGCCTTGAGTCAATATTGAGGCATTGAGGCAATATTGGCCATATGAATAAGGTCAATATTGAGGCATTGAGGCAAATGTCAACTCACTCTAATGTAGATGGGAACTTAGCAGCAGCTGAGATGTACAGGTCAAACTCCACCAGAGGTCGGCCTGCAGCCAAACAGTCCGGATCTGTGGCGTAGAGCCGACCCTCCACATCTGTCTCTTTGTCCTCCAGGCGGTCAATGTCTTCCTTCTGGGTGACCAGCCGGCCCTTGAGCTCCTCCAGGGCTACGGCACGCTGCTCTTGCCGCATCAGAGCGATGAGGTCGTGTGGCCTCCGGATGGAGAACATAGAATCCATCTGCCACACATCCCACCACTTAGCAGGATTGTGGATGTCAAACTGCATTCACTGGTCATTGTGATGGGTAGAATATCTAAATACTTCAACGTAGCAAGAATTGTGAAGAAAGGAATGTTTTGTACGGCACAGTGTGACAATTGACAATTAAACAAATTTATTGACATCTCGTCAATCTTTACACTCAAAGGGAGTTATAAGGTAATAATAATGGTAGGAATGAAGAGAGATATATACAATCGACGTAGCCCTCTCCAAGGGCACGTCCGGATCAGGAGCTTAAAGCTGCCTTGAATCTAGACAGATCCCTGCCATTTGGGGAGTTCATGTTCGGAACATGTTTGATGATAATGCCGAAGAATTTGTCGAGAAGAATCTTGTCTTCAGGCGTGAGTAGTGTATGGCACAGTGTGTCTATTATTGTATTTGTCTTCTAAATGAACATTTGAATGTGGGGTTTGAGGTGGCGTCTATACTTAGCAAGAATATACTGGGCTCTTCAATAGATAGATTTTTTAAATGTCTACTTGTGTCTACGTTGTGGGTTCCAGGTGTTTTGTAAGGTCTGGAGAACAAGTTTCCATGATAACAGAAGCACTCTCGTCATAATCCCAATAAAAGCAAATTTGAATCTGTTATTTATGCTGCCGTTCTTGATTCCTGATCCATCAGAGCAATGCTCGTTCCAATACCACTGCGTTTACTCAATGTGCCCCAGACATTGTCGACAGCTTGTCTTGGCCTACAAAATGACCATATCCTATTGAGCATATATGGGACATTATTGGACGATAAAGCCAACATCATCCAGTACAGACAGGAATGGAACTCCAATTCACAAAACAACATACAGCATCTATACCAAACAATGCAGGCATGCATACATGAAATATAAAGGTGAATACAGCGGTTATTAATGTGTAACAACACTCCGAGGATAAGTTTCCTGTTTTATTTAAACAACAACAAAGCCTTTATTTAGGGCCTCTCGCCCTATACAGGATTCGCCAGTTCACAAGGGATGGGGAGAACACTGTGTGGTCTTTTTCCGGGATATAATCCTGTGGAATCCAAATATCGCCACCGCTATATACCTATTCTTTGATATTTCATTAATTAGTGCCGGAAATGAAGGACAAAGTTGCCCCGTTTTATCATTTAGTTTTTGTCTTTCCTCAGACAGAGCAGCACAATCAAATAAGTAGTGCAACAGCTCCATTGTTATTTTATTTAAACAATCATTCAAGCTTTTGGGTATCACAAACCTTTATACAATTGATAAGGCACAATTTGGATTATAGATTATAAACACAAGGTAATAAGACCAAATCCAAATAAATAAATAGTGTTTGATGTTTGTGTAACAGCGTTGCTACCATCTTCAGACAAAAGTACTGAATGAGAAATATTACCACAGCATGTTTTAAATAGTTACTGTTATCAAGTGTGTAAACAAGATAACAGATAAGAAGAAGATATTTATCTGAGAAACACAGAATATTATTCTTAGAATTAAAAGTGGAAAAAAACCCAATTTTTTTTTCTTATCTGTTATCTTGTTTACACACTTGAGATAACAGTAGCTATTTAAAAACATGCTGTGGTAAAATTTCTCATTCAGAACTTTTGTCTGAAGATGGTAACAATACTGTTACCGAAACGTCACACACTATTTATTTATTCGGATTTGGTCTTATTACCTTGTTTTAAAACCTTTATACAGGAATATACAGCAAAATGAATCCTAATCTTTAACTATCTTGAATATTATTTGCATATATTTAAAATGTACATGGAAACTAGGTAGCATTTTATTTAGTATATGTTTTATGATGTAATATAATTAAAATTTGAGTTTTATCATTTATATACAAACCCAGCAAAATAAACATACTATTGGTTATCTAGGGTTGTTATGAAAGGAAATTAATGTGTTACAATTTCACAAGGTAATAAGACCAAATCCAAATAAATAAATAGTGTGTGACGTTTTGGCAACAGCATTGTTACCATCTTCAGACAAAAGTACTGAATCTATTCAGTAATCGAATCATTCAGTACTTTGTCTAAAGATGGTAACAATGCTGTTGCCAAAACGTCACACACTATTTATTTATTTGGATTTGGTCTTATTACCTTGTGTTTATAATATACTAGACGAATGGCCCGGGCAACGCCCGGGTTTTACCCGAGTGCGTATATATTTTTAAAATGTTTTAATTAAAATACTATTCGTTACAATTATAAATTGGCGCCGTGGATGTCTCTCTTGTGAAACGTCCCGCCCCAGACTGTGTGTGTCTTGAAAATATAAAAATAAAAATGTGAACGGAAAAATATGTCCAGGGTAGCCTAGTGGTCATGGCATCTGCCCAGTAAGCGGAAGGTCGTGGGTTCGATTCCCATCCCTTGACACTTTTTTTATTTCATCCATTCTGACCAAAATCTATCCGTGAACTTCACACAGAGAGAATAAGGCAATTATATAAGTAGATAATCCAAATTGTGCCTTATCACACACTATTTTTTTATTTGGCCTTATTACCTTGTGTTTATAATCTATGACGTAATGCCGGCGGCGCGCGCCCGTTGGTTGCCGGCGAGCACGTGACCTCCCTGTGCACGCGCATCCGTGACAGAACCGGCCCATGACGGTCGTGACTATATATATATGGATAATAATAATAATATAATAATTATTATTATTATTATCATTAGATAATGATAATGATCATAATGATGATGCGCGCGCATCCGTGACAGAACCGGCCGGCCCATGACGGTCGTGACTATATATGTTGATTATCCAAATTGTGCCTTATCGGTGTTACAATTTAACATTGGAAATGGCTCTCCTCATGCCTACTTTTACCGGGGATCTTGAAATTTGGTTGTTAATGTCCATCATCTAGTTCAGGTTCAAGTTGACTGTAGGAACAAATCTTCTCCAATATGTTCTGTTGGGGATCATCACTGGTAGCTCATCTAGTGACCTTCTGGTAGCTTTCTTGACCCCTTCCAGCCAACTCATTGCAGATCTTCTTTCAATTTTCTCAACATCTTTTCTAAACCATTTTCTCTCATTGTCTGTCCAAAGTAGGTCAGTCTTTGTTTATATGTTTGGGATTCTTGGAATTTAACATGATAATTTCACAAGGTAATAAGACCTAATCCAAATAAATAAATAGTGTATGATGTTTCGGTAACAATGTTGTTACCATCTTCAGACAAA